ACTAAGGGGTGCCCGTTGTGGCCAAGATTGCGGGGGGGGGGGTTGCTCCAGGGAGTGGGGGCATGGGGCAGTGATGGGGAAGGAGCACTCTCAGCCACCCTGGCACCCCAGTGACTCTCAGTGGTTTTGTGTGTCCCTCTGCAGGTGGTCAAGGCCATCAACAGAGTGCTGCTCCACAGTGTCATCCGCCTCACCGATGTGATCGAGGGATTTGGCACCCTGGGCTTCCCCAACTGTGGAAGGGGGGCCATCAACAGAATGCACATCCTCATCCATGCCCTGGACCACCAGGCCTCCCTCTACAGCAACCAGAAGGGATATTTCTCGGTCATCCTGCAGGCTGTGTCTGACCATCAAGGCCAGTTCGTGGACATCAGTGTGAGCTGGTCCAGCAAAGCACACAACACACGGTTTACTGCAACTCCTCCATGTTCCAAAGGCTGCATGCCGGAACTTTCTTCACCACCTGCCACATCAGGGTCGGTGACGTGGACTTGCCTGTGTACCTGGTGGGGGATGCAGCCCATCCCTCACAACCCTGGCTGCTGAAGCCCTACGTGGGACACCTCAACCCCTCCTGACAGGCATTTACTGCCAAGCTCGGCAGGGCCCATATTGTGGTGGAGAGGGTGTTTGACTGGTTAAAGGCCTGTTTTAGATACCTCCTCACCTGCTTGGACCTATCGAAGCGGAATATTCTGCACATGGTGGCAGTGTGTTGTGTTCTGAATAATTTCTGCAAGAGGAACGGGGGGCTTTCCTGCCGGGCTGGATGGCAGAGGCCAACCATTTGGCTGGCCTGTATGTGCAGCCCCACACGGCTGCCAGCTGGGAGGCCCATCGAGGGGCTATCAGTAGCCAGGAGGCCCTGCAGGAGAGCTTCCACCCAGAGGAGGACTAAAGTGTGTCCGTGGTGTGCCCCACTGGGGGCTTCTGCCTCATTTCACCCTCACATCCTTTCACGGACCCCTCCCTAGCCCCCCTTACCATTAAATAAAGACACATGTGTTGACAAAAACAAACTCTGTTTATTGAACAAAACTGGGGTGGCAGGGAATGACGGTGGAAGAAGGGAGGGGTAAACCTGGGAGGAGGGAGCTTAAAGGGGGAGGAGAAGCTCAGGGTTGAGGGTCTTGTTGGTCCACCTGTCTCCCAGCACTGCAGGAATGGGGGCCTCAGCTTCCCTGGAGGAAGAAGTGGGAGGGTGAGCAGGAGTGGGAGGAGGAGCGGTAGCTGGGACAGCAGCTGGGCTGGAGCACCAGGAGGCAGCAATCTCTGCACCAGTGTCTGCAGGTGGTCAGAGATTGCACAGCCCTGGGTAAGCAGCTCCCACCAGCTCTCCCGCCGCAGCTGTAGGTCTTCATGCATCCAGTGGTTGAGGGTGTGGTGCCGGCCTTGCAGGATCCCCAGGTGCTGCCGCTGGTACTCCTCCTGGTTAGAGGTCAGCCTGCTGGCCCAGGTGCGGGAGGCTGTCCTGGGCACGGTTGTGCGCCCTGCACTCATAGCTATTGCAGCTGTGGAGAAACAAGAGAAGTGGTCAGTTCTCCCTGGGGACACAGTGGGTGAAGCCCAACTCCCCTCTGCATGGTGAGGACAGCAGGTCTCCACACCATTGGAGCTGATGTGGATGCACACAGGCCATGTTCGGCATGTCCTGCTATCCCCAGGACTACACCTATGCCCCTGTGCTGTATCTAGTGTGGGGATGGGGAGGAGGGGAGATGTGCTCTGCCTCTGAGTAGAGGGGGCTTGTGGAGGGAGGCCATCATGCAGTGTCCCTCCCTGGGGTCAGGAGCATGTCATGTGCCTTCATACATACCCGCATGTGGGTAACAGGCCAGGGCCCCTATGTGGCAGCCACATGCCCAGGGTGGCACGGCACATGCATAGGTTTCTGCATTCTCCGTGGTCAGCAAGGTCCACATGCAAAGTCCCTGGTCTCCCTCTCACCCCCACCCACCCCCGCATAAGGGAACAGTGATGGCACTCACATGTCGAGGCCTCCGCAGCCTCGGATGACACTGGCAACAGGCT